ACCACACAGAAATATCACAATCAGGAAACTTTTATATAAATAATTAACCTGTAAATCATAGTCCATTCCAGTTTATTTTAAAAGTCCTTGCACCTAGGAGGGATTTTATGGAGGTTCATGAAGCAGAACTGGGAAGAGCTGGAAAAGCACTGTTGCACAAGCAGACACAGGCATAATAAAAATGCATTGTAATGTGTCAGCTAGTTGTCTACTTCTATGAGTAATGCAAGAATTCATAGTGTATCCTAAACAAGGAAAGGCATTTTGTTCATGGAACTGTGATGGCTTGTGATCTGAGAAGGGGGAAGCCTCACCCCTAACTTTTGAGCTGAGGTCCTCTCTTCTGCCCACACATGGAGCTGGAAATGTGGCTGCAGCTGCATGGGTATATGATCTTTTGCACTGCATGCTACAAAATGACAATTTATAACATGCAGCTGCATGGGTATATGATCTTTTGCATGCTACAAAATGACAATTTATAACGTGAACTTAACATTGATGTGTCCAATTGCCCATATCTCAATGTCTTGTATCAATAAGAACTCACTTCAGATGCGTCCATATATATTTTCTGCTCCAAAAATGCTGAAGCAGTGGACATATGTTTTATCTTGGTCTTACGTTCAATAATTTAAAATGTTTGGTTTGAGTTTCGCTACTTAGTGGAATGGAAGAAATCATATGCCACCCACTCTGGGTGAAAGTTAATATAGTACAAGAATGTTAACATGCTTGAAAGGAAGCATTTAATATTCATGGCTGTAGAAACATTATTTCTTTGGAAATTTAATCTAAGCCAATTTTATTGTATTAAGTGCTCTTAAGTGCCAAAAAAGAGAGGAAAAGTCTGTGATCCTTTTATAGGACTAGGTTCAATTGTTAGAGTAGATCCATTGAATCAATAAGACTTTGGTAAGTCAGTTATTGTTTCAAAGGATGTATTCTACTCAGGACTGTAACTGGACTTAGGTCACCAAATCTCCCAGATTGACTAATGCAATACTCTCTACTTGGGACTTCCCTGAGGTTGACTTGGAGAATCCAGCAGGGCCAGAATGTGGCAGCCAGACTGGTGGCTGGTGTGAGTACGTTTGATCACATTTCCCCAGTTCTAAATAAAATCTAAGACTGAGGCTGAACCCAGGTAAGACGAAGGTCTTTCAGGTGGGTGGCCCAGACATTAGTAGTTTGGGAAACTCCCTCTCTTTAGGAGGGGGTGACTCTTACCACTAAGAGTGAGGTTCACATTTTGGGTGTACATCTGGACCCGATGCTCACTATGGAAACCCAGGTGGTGTCAGTGGTCCGTTCTGCACACTTCCATCTTTGGTGGATTGCCCAGCTGCGTCCCTATCTTGATGTGGGGGCTCTCAGCACCTTGGTCCATGCGCTCGTAGTCTCGAGATTAGACTACTGTAATGCACTCTACGTGGGGCTGCCTTTGAGACTAATGTGGAAACTTCAGATGGTGCAGAATACAGCAGCCAGACTTCTTACAGGGGTGAAAAGATACCGCCATATTTCCCCCACTTTGACCGCCTTGCATTGGCTGCCCATTCATTTCCGCGTTGATTTCAAAGTCTTGACAATGACATATAAAGCCCTAAATGGTTTAGGACCTTGATATCTGGTAGAGTTCCTCCTCCCACCCAGTTCTGCTAGAGTCACTCGTTCTAGCCAGGCCAGGTGGCTCAGGGGCCTAACGCCGAGGGAGGTCCAGAAGGAAAGAACAAGGAACTGGGCCTTTTCTGCAGTGGCCCCTTGCCTCTGGAACAACTTGGTCAAGGAGGTCCACCTGGCTCCTTCTCTGGGTGTTTTCAGGAGTAAAGTTAAGACCTGCCTATTTGGGCAGGCTTTCCCTCCTCCTTAAAGTTTGACATTTTTGCCATCTTGGATTCATAGTATACATTTATTGTTTTCACTGTTTTTTAAAAATTGTAATGTCACCTGGAGTAGACCTTTGGCCTAGAAGGGCAGGGTAAAAGTCTAACAAACAAACAAACAAACAAACAAGTCTGAGCCCATATTAGTTTTACAATTCCATTATGTTTCTATGAATTATATTGATAAATGAAACTGTGTGTTCTTTACCTGTTTATAATATAATATGCATGTAAATCCCTCACTTGTCTCAACATCATGGATACAATGAGGAACTTTAACCTTCTTTTCTGGGAGAGAGCGATACATTATCTGATGATAGCAATGAGAATTCTCACAGCTGTGAGAATGGTTTCTCTGCAATATTTATAAAAGTGTACAATTCTCCAGTTGTGAACAGTACAATAACTACTGTTCTGGTATATGAACTTTGTAAAACCTATATGTATTGGTTACATTATCTGGTGTTTTTTTTCCTGAAGAATTGATTTATTTTATTTATTTAAAATATTTTTATCCTGACTTTCTTTTTAAAAAGGACCCAAGGTAGCTTACATCCTTAAAAGACAGTATTTAAAGCAAAAAAAGAGTAAGTATGCAAATGATGAAAAGCATCAAACAAATGCCACATTAAAAATATTGAACAGAAGCAACACCCAAAACACATTCAAGGCAGAAAGGTACAATACTTGACTTATAGCTCCAGTTCAGGTTCCCAGACACTGTGGGAAAGCGTTTCTGAAGAGAAAGGTCTTCACAGCTGCCATCACTTTATGACTTCTTTTCCACTCCCACTGCCACAGAAGAGGCCTTCCAATAAACCCTAGCCCATGTTTGGTCAGATTCACTACACGTTTTCTACCACTCAAGTTTCTGTCCTTGAGTTTCATTGTCACCAGCTTCCTGGTAAACCAGGTTGCCAGTCTAGCTCTAATTTGTAGAGGTAGGCGCTCAGAAGCAATGGCTTTTAAAATTTCACCATTCCAGAGATCAACCAGGGCTGCAAGAACAATCTCACAGATCTTCTGTGCTTTTTAAGGAAATGACATCAATTTTGCACAAAGTTTTTCACAGAAGAGTTCCTTGTCTTGCTCTCATTCTGGAACAAAAAATCTCCAAAGATCTGGAACTATTTAGCAAATTATCTCGTTGTGCTAAGATAGACTGAATTGAGTAAGATAGAGAATTTAGCAGGTATCCATCCAATTTCTTGTTTGCAATATCATACTACCTATGTGTCTGTACATGGCTTAGCCTCACTATTAGCTTTCATTCTATCTGAGACAGACTATGTCAAAAAAATACCTGAACTGTTCAAAAATCTAAGACAGGAAGCATGAGTATGCAACATATAATACACTTACTTGTAAGCAGGGCCTCCTCATGTTGCTGTATCTTAATTGTAATCAGACTTCTACTGGATTTTACGGTGAACCAAAAGTCATATCTGTGTGGGTTATACCACCACATCAGAACTGAGTTATATTGACCCTAATAGGGCTTTCAAGGTGACTGAGGCATCTAAGGAATCATGTCTAGCATGTCTAGCAAAATTCTGGTCTGTAAAGAGGGGTTTAAATATTCCCCACCTTTTTTTTAAAAATTATCTGTTTATTTCAATTTGTATACCACTCCCTTTAATGGGTGGGTTACAACACATATAATAGAACACAAAAATAAAAATATAAACATTTAAAACCAGCAACAATAACCCTAAAAAACCACCCAACAACAACAGATGACACCAACTAATCCCCAGAAGAAAAGAGGGGAGGGAAGAAGAGGAAGGGGAAAAAGAGGAGGGGAGAAGGTGGTCAGTTGGGGATGGTGTGGAAAGCCTTCCTGAAAAGCTATGTCAAAAAGCTGATTGCATAAAGTTGGAGCCATCACAATGAATGTTCTACCTCTTGCAGAGGATTTACAAGCTTCCCTTGGGGTGGCCACCCAGAGGACTCTTGGATGACCTTGTGGGTCAGGCAAATAACATTAAGGAGAGATGCTCCCACAAGTAACATGAGCCCAAACCATGGAGGGCTTTGTGTATTAGTGTCAGAACCTTGACATATTAGTTTGAACAAAAATAGGAATTGTATCAGTCTAACAATTGTATCAGTCTAGCATCACAAGGAGACAAAAGTTACTATCTAGCAACATTCAAATTGAAACAAAAGAAAACAGAACAACAAAAGGAAGGAAACTGTTTTTCCTCTTTGCATTTTCCTCCACTGTTGGTTCTGCGGTGACTATAAGCATTGCAGGTTTGAAAAAATTAAAGAAGGCAGCAATCTAGGATTTTGAAATCAATAAATATTTCTAGCTGAAATCTGCCTTGGGTTTCTTAAAGGCATACACCAGCTTTATGCAGTCACATTTCTCATTTTGATGCTGGTGCTAGGTTTAAATTAGGAACTTCAACAATTGTAGATATTACAGTAGTGGGCTATATTGCATGTCTATAATCAGTGGGAGGCTGTAGCAAATCCTTTAAATTCCAGTTCAATGATTGTATTGTTTCCCTCCAACTTTCACATCTTACTTAAAAGAAAGCCAAAGCAAACATGAGATTCTTGTTTTTAGCATGTGTGATACTTCCCCCTGCCACAAATATTTGGTGCAGACACTTTGCCTTATCACAAGTTGTGGTGTACTCCAATCCAAAGGTCATAGTTCCTTCTGCTAAAGATAAGAATTACGTCTAGTTTTGCCCTGAAATGTAGGCTTTCATAGCAACATAGGTCTTTATGATCATCATTGATAGACTATACGTGTAGTAGGAATTACATTTAATCTATGCAAACTGCAATTATGCCCTTCTTGTCATCTTTTGTTATATTATGTGCTGTCAAGTTGGAACTGACTTAGAGACGCCCAAATAAGACTTTCAAGGTAAGTGAGAGATTTAGGGAGGGGTTTTACCAGTTCTACATACCCCATGAGCTTCCATGGCTGAGCAGGAAATCAAACCCAGGTTCTCTGAGTACTAGCCCATCTCCCTGTGCACTACACCTACACCACACTGGATAGATATTCTTTCATCATTTTTACTGGCTGAAAATATATATTAGTATTAATGTTTTTGAACCATAGATTAATGTTGTTTTTTCAAAAATTCTTACCTCCAGAATGAGTTGGTGGTCCACACAGCAAAACAACCCCTTGGCCTTCTCGCACAGACACAGTACTTCTCATTTTTGTCTTTAAATTTTCAAGATCTATAGAGGGGTTTCCCCCAAAAGGAAAAGATGTACAATTATTAATAAGAACCATTATCTTATTTTAAAAGGAAGGATATGTTGTTCTTTTAATACCAGTAACATACCACAGTTTTAAATCCCATTCATTTAAATGATTATTCACAAACGTTATATTAATTAAAAATCTCTACAGAACTCAATCACGACAGGTGATGCTGCCAAAGTCCAAAAACTCTTGCTTTAGAAAACAGAAGAATATTTATGACTCAAGCTCTGTGTATGTGCTAGCCCTCAACACAGTACTGAATCCTAAATATTTCCCTTTCTCCCACTTCTCATATATTTACCTATAAATATACATATTTACATTTACATATAACTGCTGCTTCTGTGGTGTGCTAAGGCAGGCAGGAAGTCTTTGTTTCTCCTTCTCCTTACACAAAAAGCGCAATCCTATTATTTTCGCTTTCCCCAAATTCTATTTCTGTAGATTTTGGTCAATTTCAGTCAGTGAGTTTGAGAGCCAGAGTATCTGAAAGATCCTCTTAAGTAATACCATTAAAAACTTCAGCAGAGACTCTGTTGCAGGTCAGAAAATATCTCTTGTTTGATTGTTTTTAACTACATAGACAGGAAATTTAGAGTGTTGTAATGCAAAAAAGTATTTCTTCTAAACTCTGGACTCTGTAGTGTCCCACAATGCTAGGAGTTAGGGGTCATAGATATTGCTTACTCCCACTATATAAGTTCCTCAGAGTGGTAATCTATATCCCTGTTACAAAGGGGGAAATCGGTGATAATTGGACATAATGGCCTCAGTGTAATGGGGGGGCATCCCTTATGAATCTGCTCCCACCAGAAAAATCAGGAGTAGTGCCATTTCTTTTCTGCACTGCAATTCAAAACCATATTTTGTGCAACTCAAAAATCTGTTCTGGAAAGCTGGTTTTTGGGTGGCTTCAGTGTTGAAACATGAAAGGAAGTCCTGTCATGGCGGGTACTAAAGCACCAGCAACACTAGAGTTCATATTCAGTTACAACTAAAGTAGTAACTTTACTAAAACAGTAACTGAGTATGAAATAGACAAGTTCAATCTTAGTTCTTGGCATGTTATTTTAGGGCACCTTCCTTGTCACAAACATAATTGTACTTACGGTACGCTCAAAATATAATTCAATCAAATTTTTACAGTGAACCTAATCTAGAATAAAATTTTGCCTCTAAAATGAAGCATTGGTCTTTTGTAGATGATGGGAAGGTTCATTTAACAGTGTCCCCACCTATCCAGCTTTAAGGGGTATGTATATTAATTAAATTCCTGAACCAGACACAAAACACTGTAAATTATCTAACTAGCCAAGCAGAGCAATCTCAGAAAAAGAATACTGATAGAGAGAGAAATAGTTATATTTTCTGCTGACTGATAGAATACACTTTTTTACATAGTATTTCAACATTTGTCTAAAATATTCTTGCTGAAATTAGTGAGTCGACCAAATTTGGAATGGCTGTGGGTCATGGGCAGCTCATGGACTGCTGCAAATTGCCCTCCCATAAACCACAATTTTCCCTCTTTGTGGGTTAAGAAATTTGCCAGCATATTTCAGATTTACAAACTTCTTTATGAACAAAATCTCATATCCTTTCAGACTTCTGGCTGGCACCAGCCTTTCTGTTCCTTGCCTATCTCACACAAATTTGTCTGACACATTAGCTGTGCTAATGGGGCCATTTGGTACCAAGTATCATTATATTCAAGAATGTGCCATAGCATTATTATAGCCACAACTTCCAATAAAGCTACGGGATCCTGAACACTTCTATGGCAACATTCTTGGGTATTACAGAGGCCCTGATTTTGGCCATCTTCACTACAAGTCCTTATTGCATAGCCAGATGAGCTTTGGAGAACATGGAGAAATATAGCTGTGAGGCGCTCTGATTATGCTCAGGGAAGTGCTAAGAAGGCACATGAAGTCTGCATATTCTAGTGACAATCTCTGGAACCCAACAGGCTGGGCTGTGATCAAAAGTACTGCAATTTTCTGTTCAACATTTTAAAACAGTAATTAGTTATTGTTGAATATATTGCAAACTAGAAATACATTATTAATGCACATGCTCGGAAGGAAGGAAGGAAGGAAGGAAGATCATGAAGGATTGTAGACTGATAGGAGATGGTGCGTCAGAATTACGAGTATGGATACCAATTAACCAACTGTGCCTAAATTAATTAATTTGTTATTTATTTATTTATTTCCTTAATTCATATCCAGTCAATTAGTAGCACACTATTCTGAGTGGTTTACAACATGATAAAATATAACCCCACAATAACATGATTATATATAAGACCAAAAGACTATAAAACATAATACAAGAAGCTTAATATCAGATAAGACAGAACACAGACATAAAATCAAAAATGGAATCAGGCGGGGGGTGGGGTTGTAGAAAGCTTCTCTAAACAACAGTATTTTTAGAATCCGGAAAGGACCAGGTGCAGCTCTACCTGGAGTTGGTGCCACTGCAAAGAAGACACATTTTATCATAGATTTCTTGACCTCCCTCAGACGACCATTGCCTATGATGGTCTGGTGGGGAAAAGTTGCTCCGACAGATAGTGTAGTCTCAAACTATGGAGGGCTTTATAGGTAGGTATAAAGACCTTGAACCTGATTCAGGATGTAACAGGTAACCAATTAAGATAAAAATAAAATTTCTCTGGCACATCTTTTTTGTCTTTGCTTTTAAAAAAAATCTTTTGGTACTGTTTGCATGCCGTAAGACCCAGGAGATTCTACATGTATCACACATTCTCCAGCGTTGATTAGATTGTTTCTCCTTTCATATGCACTATCTTGTTTTCTCCAAATGAATTATAAACCAGAGCAGAAGAAGTCCACTCATCCATAACTAGAAGTCAATTCAGATAGCTGCAAAGAGAACACTTAACAAGTATATTTTTGTTTACAGTTTTATAAAGTGTAGCTGCCTAGGTACAGATGTTCACTGATACACTCAAAGGGCACTTTAAAACAAACTGCCATAAATAGAAAGCATAATGAAAATGCTAAGCTGACCAAAAATAGTTATTGTCGGAGTGTAATTTCCTTTCTAACATTAAAAAAACAGTGACAGATGTTCAGCCCAAACCACTTAACAACAGTAATTTAGCATTTATTCATTCACTATTTTAAAGGATAAACTATTGAATGCAATAATATAACATTACCACTCTACTTCATTCAAGTTATTTTTTCCAAAGCTTTTAGAATATATATATATATATATATATCAACCATCTTGTCCTCTGTCGTCCCCTCCTCCTCTTGCCCTCACACTTTCCCAACATCAGGGTCTTTTCCAGGGAGTCTTCTCTTCTCATGAGATGGCCAAAGTATTGGAGCCTCAGCTTCAGGATCTGTCCTTCCAGTGAGTGCTACCTCTTATATTACATTGCCCTTGGTCTGAGTTTGTAGAATGATAAAGGAAAGACCCTCCTCTTGTTTTGACAACACAAGACAATGCCTCAAGTAGACTCATGGCAAAGCAGTTTCATTGCTCATTCTTGTCGTAAGCCCAAACCAGATAACCTGTCGTACTGTTCTCAGTGAGGCGGTTACTCTCCCTTCATATTAGGTGAACAGTGACATATTTCCATTCATGGATGTGATACTTGCTTCTACCCCCACCCCCAAATACAAAGAGGAAGTCACTTTAACTATAGACATACATGTTCACAAAGAACTCTATAGGAAATCCAGCAAATAAGAACTGCCCAAATGATATGATGTGTAATAAACACATCTGTGACAGTGAACTATTTCCCCAAAGTTATAAATTATATTTAGGATTTAAAAAATCAGGATGGTTCTCTAGAGCTGCTTTGTGGCTGAAAGTTTCCAAGAAGGTGGTGGCACTTGCCCTATGAGCACTTGTGGTAGGTATCTTCAGCATATGTGCCAACTCTCTATATGGAAGATAAAGTCTGGAATCATCCCAAACCCTGTAAGCTTTTTGCTTGCAATGCAGTAGTTCTGTGGCCCAGAATTAGAAGCTTCTCTGTCCAAAGTGGAAAGCAAATGTACTTGTTATATAGCGAATGATGAGAAATATAATGAAAAAGTGCAGAGAATTAAGAATTTAATAGAGTGAAGTTGTAAAAACAACATTGCTGTCTTGGGTCATTATCAGTAAGTGTGTCCAAGAGGAGGGGGGAAATCCTTCTCTTTCTCTCTTTATTATTAAATTCCTGGGTTTAAACTACAATGCTGAAATAAAGAAAATTCAAAGTGAAAGACAGAGAGAATTTTATTGCTTTTTTACTACGTGCAAAATTGAAGAACATTTAAAATGAACAACAGCCAAGAAAAGAGGAAGCTGTGTATGTTCCAATACTCTGAAATGGTAATTTTCTGTACTTTCCCATCATAACACACACATCCACTTTCCATTTCCTTTAAGCAGTGAATGTAGTATTGATTACTTGGAATGCTTATGCCAGTGTTTTAAAATAGTATAAGAAAAACGGGATTAAGTTACTGGAAGACAGAAACATATTTTGCATAAAAAGCAAGTATAAATGTGTTTATCTTTAAAACCATAACATAAATAGCAAAATGGGAGCGGTTTACAAGATCTTGATATTCCTGCTTGGTAAACTAAGTCGACTGGTGAGCACATTGCTAAGAAAGGAACACCGAACAGAATACAGAACATGCATTATTGTTTTAGTTATAGCCTGCCTTTGGTCTTATGAACTCAGCATGGCTTATACCTCTTTCTCCTCAATTTATCTTCAGCATTTATCTGTGATGAGGTAAGTCGGGCCACAGTCACCTACTGATAGTTAGGATGCAGTGGGCATTTCAACCAAAGTCTCGTGAATCCTAGTCCAACAAGGTCACACCACACTGCCTGTAACAACAGCAGAGTAGCTCACCTGCATGACCTCATTCCTGGTCAGGTCAAGCCCAGTGTATGTTGCCAGTCACCTTCTCAACGTATTTCATTC